AGAGTCGAAACAATTCGAGCCTGTTACTTGTCAATCATGAGGTGGTATTGAAGTTACTGAAGTTAGCGGATGGTGTAGTTGACATTTACAACGAACTGTGGTTTAATGTTTCAAGCTTTTCTTTTTGAAAACAAAAAGGGATTTCTGTGACTTCCTAGTTTCTGAACCATGACTCATAGAACTACAATCAAACTTCGACTTTAGGTAAGTCTCATTTAATTTCTAAATTCTATTTCGTCATTGTCTACGTCACTAGGAAGTCACATGAGACTTTAAGGCGATGTTGGCATGAGCCACAATCATACTAGTAACAGAATGCGTCATTTAATCATGATAGTATATTTACATGTACTCAGTCTGACTAATAACCATGACAAGATTTGCTCCAAAGATTCTTCTCGGTGTGATTAGTTGTTTTCAAAAGAAATTAGCCAGAAATAGCAGAATATATGAATATGGTCCCCCTCGATTAACATTCGATTGACGCCAATGGTTTGGGTCAATTGCAAATAGAGGTTTAAACTTTTAACAATACACAGGCTTGGGTCGCTAGGATAAGCCAGAAACTCCTGGCGTCCCCAGTGTTTGCCAGGTTTAGACATTTTTAAAAGTTGATCCACATGGAAGATATATATTTATTTTCTTCACGATCCATGCTTGTTATACTTATACATCAATTAAGTCATCTTCTTTCAAGCGACCTACTGCACTCCATCAGTGTCTCCATGATATCGTTAGCCGTAAGATTTTTTAAAAGTTATCGGGTCGCCAACGTATATATGAGAATCATGCTACTAAATTTGGAAGGCCGAGTGTAGTATAGTAACACTATGATTATAGCAACAGTATTGGTACTACTATAACACTATGAATTGCTATCACACTTCTTATCGTGAATTTGCTCTACCTGTTGCTGGTTCTTTCGTCGCAATGTTCGGTTGGAAATTAAACTTTAATAATCAGTCGAGTTTTCTTCTTCTTCATCTTTTACGAAAAGCAATGTTTATTCCTTCCAGTGCCACTGCATAAAGAATGATATCACACTTGTCAAAAATTAGCACAAAAATATTTACCCTGAAACGGGTCTATTATTTACCAGTGCGAATATGTTTGTTTTTATCTATTTAAGAAATCCACAACATGACTGAACAGCCCGCATGGTCCAATATATAACAAGGAAATTGACATTTGCTTTGGAATGATCATGACTGTCTTAATTTTCATCATTGCATGTGGTAACTTTAATTCCTAGATACCGCATATAGAATTCTCTTACACTCGTGATCAGTGGTATGCCAAGCCAAGAGATGGTTAATTTATAGGTTAAACTGTTTTATTTCCTTTCACAGCAACTAGTGATACAGTCAACCAGTGACGAGAAAAGATTGATGGATACGCTATATTTTAAAAGCTGTTGTATAAAATCAAATTTTGAGGGATCTCGAGTTATTTTCTGTTCATACGCGATTCGCTAATATATGTCTATACGTGATTATATATATGATTATGTTTATAGGTGAGTATTCTGTTACTGTTAATGATACTGTTACTGTTACTGATATAAATGTTACTTATATAATATTGTGAAACATCTTTAAAATAGGATAAAGTTTATTGATCTTACTCTAAAGCCGCATTTACACTAGAGGCCTTGATCTGGCCTGGAACATGTTCACAGTACTGTCTTTCTTGTTAATAATTGACAAAATTTCGAACCAAATGGAAAATGCGCCTAAAAATACTATAGTATTACCACTTATTAAGTTGAAAATAGATCAGAACTAATTAAAAGCCATTCACATCACAAAAATCGTGCTCCAGGGCAGGTCCAGGCCTGTTAGTCTGTTTTCAGCATTAAAAAAGCGAAGTGCATATATATTGCCTTAAAAAAGTTTGGCCATGTGTATATATAGATTGTTGAACATATCCTCGTAATTACTGGACAAAATTTGTATTTAACTACCGCCATTCAATTGAAAGGTAGTCAAGCTTTTTATATATTACATTCATAGGTATACTTCAGTTAGAATTGTCGTGGACAATTCCAAAATATAAGCACGAAGCGAATGATATGAATATTGCTTTATAATTAACACATATCATTGTATATTTCTGAAGCGCCCTTAAATTTGCCAGCTCGTACAACCTTTCGCAAATTTCTTGCAAAGTTGTAATTAACTTTGCAATGAAAATTTATATTAGACAACCTATTTGCAAAATTCAGTGCAAAAATTACCTTTAATGCAAATTTGCTATCGTGCAAATCTTGCGAACAAGTAGTTTGCACGTGTCTAAACGATTTGCAAACCAAACTCAAATTGAAAGGCTTGTCATATATGCAGTCATATATGCACACATGCGAACCCCTGGCAAATTTTGTTATAAATTAATGACAAATTGCATGCGTGCACAACCCAAGCCAAATTTGGTTATAAATTTACTGCAAATTTGCACGCATGGCAATTTAGTGCAAATCTAGATCCAAATTTGCATGCGAGCAAACTGGTATGCAAAATTGCTGCAAATCGGAAGGTTGCATTTTACAAAAATACATGCGTGCAAAATTGAAGTAAACCTAGTCTTTTGATTTGCAACTAGTTTGAGTTGCATGTAAATTTATGCCAAATTGAACTTTTCGCCCTGTGTTAGATATAGCTGGTCCTATTTGCAGTATGTGTAAAATAAAGACATTCGTTCAAGATGGTGGACTATCAACAGCCCCGACAATATTCATTATTCAAACCTAAATACTTTACAAATATACTCACCCGGGAGGGCAGAGTATGCTTATGCTAATTATATCACATCTTTCCCTTTTTAATAATAGCCTAAATTCTAAATAAATTAAAGTTCAAGTTACTAAGACAAAATGTTAAATGTTCTAGATAAACTAAAGTCGAATATAAACGTAAGAATATAAGTTCATTAAACTTATAAAAATAACTAAAATTAATGTCAAATAATGTTTCTAACTTTACCACCCAAATCGTTTGGGTTTCACCACTAATCGACCACTTCTGGTAACGTACGGGCTGGTGGTCTTGGCAGGTGGTCCAGGTGGTGGGGATATTTCTGGTAAGGGTAAGGGATCTGGATTCACGGTCGATGAAGCAGTGGATTGGTCAGAACCAACGGACGGTGAAACTGCATTCTCGGGAGATGACATTTCTTTATCAACTGCCGGAGCTATAGTTTGGTCGTCACTGTCAGATCCAAGGGCTGGTCCAACTCGCGAATGCTGTCGATTGCGGCGATACTTTCTTCCATCATCCGTTTGCACTATATATGATCTTGGCGTATGGTGATGCCCCAGTACCGTCACTGGTTTCCATTCTCTGGAATACGTCCACCGTTCTAACCGGACTTTAGCTCCAGGCTGTAGTTCTTTCAGCTCCTTACTTGCATGCTTGTTGTAATACTTTTTCTGGTCTTCTTTAGTCTTCATTAAATATTCGGAAATACGTTGTGGGCTGGTGTTAGCAGGTTGAAGTAACCCTTCCATCACAGGCAGGTTGTTTCGCAGTCGACGTCGCATAAGTAGTTGAGCAGGAGACAGTTCAATGTTAGGTAACGGCGTTGTCCGATAGTGAAGTAGGGCTAAGTACTTATCATTATTTTTCCGCCACAAATTCTTAATAGGAATTAATTTGGATGGCTCTTTCTGCTTCTCCATTTGCTCTTGGAAAGTGTGGTGAGCTGGTGGTATGTTTAAAACCATACTCTTTTGCAAATTCTTGGAACTCACGACTACTGTATTGGGGCCCATTATCAGAAATGACCTCGGCTGGAATTCCATGGACACCAAATTGGCGTTTGAGCTCGTCTACGACAGCACTACTTCTTGTAGATTCCATCTTGGTGACCTCTGGAAACTTACTGCGGTAACACACAGAAACCAAAAAATGTTCTCCCAGAAATTCAAACAGATCGGTTCCTATCTTTTCCCATGGAAACTTTGGAGGAACGGTTGGTTTCAAAGGCTCTGAAGGCTGCTTCTTCGCATAATCGGCACACACGCTACAATTGGTAACCATTTCTTCAATCTGTACTGACATGCCAGGCCAAAATAATACATCTCTGGCTCTTTGTCTACATTTGACTATCCCCAGATGACTCTTGTGAATTTGACGAAGCATATCTGGTCTAAGAACTCTTGGCACGATTAGGCGTGTTCCTTTGAAGAGCAACCCATCTGCTGTTACAACTTCATCTCTGAATGTCCAGTAAGGTCTGGCTGCGACAGGAACTTGTTGTTTCGTGTCCGGCCAACCACTCTTCACTAACATAATGACGGCTTGTAGTTCCGGATCGGTTTTGGTTTCCTTCTGGAATTCCTCATATCGCTTGTCCGAAACTGCAAGAACCATATGAACTTCCTGGAATTCTGCATAATTTTCCTGTTCGTTATTTGGCAAAGATGCTCGACTCAGAGTGTCAGCCAATACTTGTTTACAGCCAGGAACATAACGGATCTCCACGTCGTATCCACGCACGTTAAGAATCATCTTCTGAAGTCGCAATGGAACCTGCGACAATGGCTTGCTGCTGATGGCTTGTAGTGGTTTATGGTCTGTCTCGACAATCACACTTCTGCCATATATATACTGATGGAACTTACAACAAGCGAAGACTACTGCAAGCATTTCGGCTTCAATGGCAGCATATTTGCTCTCAGTGTCCATAAGAGCTCGAGAAGCATAACACACAGGCTTTCCCTCTTGTAGTAACACTGCTCCTAATCCTTTGCCACTTGCATCACACTGGTTAGTTACCGGTTTGGTGACATCATAATACTGTAGGACTGGTGATTGTGAGACAAGTTCCTTGATCTTCTCAAAGCTTATTTGCTGTGGTCGATCCCAGTGAAACAGTACGTTGGCTTTCTCAAGTTCTCTCAGGGGTGCATCCACCTTGGATAACCCAGGAATATATCGACTTAGGAATTGCACAAATCCAAGAAACCGTTTGACGTCTTCTTTGTTATTTGGCGTTGGCATTTCTCAAATAGCTTCAACTTTCCGAGGATCCATCTTCAAGCCTCCTGCTGTGAGGAGATGCCCTACATAAGGCACTTCTCTTTGGCGAATCTTACATTTTTCTCGATTGAGCTTTAACCCTTGCGTCGATGCTCGCTCCAAGAATTTGTTCAATCGTTCATCATGCGTTGTTTCATCCCCGGCGACGATTACATCATCCATAATAACCTCCACACCGTCTAAATCTTCAACCATTCTATCCATGGTTCTCTGGAAGATCTCTGGGGTACATTTTACCCCAAAAGGTAGCCTTGTAAATCTGTACCGTCCTATTGGTGTGTTGAAGGTACAAAGGAGTGAAGACTCTTCATCCAGCTTCAGTTGCCAGAAACCATTCTTCGCATCCAATATGCTAAAGATATTAGCACCTTCGAGACGACTGGCGACTTCATCCACAGTCTTCGTCGGATGGTGGGACCTTTTCATGGCGGCATTCAAATCCCTCGGATCAATACACAGTCTCACTGCACCATTAGGCTTTTGAACCACGACCATCAAGTTAACCCAATCTGTCGCTTCTTCCTGTCGCACAATCACACCAAGTCTTTCCATTCTTTTAAGCTCTTCGATAACTTTTTCTCTCTGTGGAATGGGTACTTTTCTTGGAGCATGAACAGCTCTGGGTAGTCATCCAATTCAACTTTCTCTGGTGCTGCTTTTTGACTTACAACTTGGTAAACTCTCTTCAGCAAACCAAGTTTGACACAGGTGTTTCCACTAAGGACAGATGTGTGTAACTGTACGTTGTTAACTGGTTTGGCTCGGCAAACCTTTGCGTAGTGTTACGAGCGCGGTCCTATAAACTTTGATAATACTCGCTTTTGGTTCTGTTTCTACTCGCAACAAACACAGTGTGAATCAATTAGATTTATATAGTTATTTATTCCTTAACTTTCCAATAACGGTAATTAACGTCTCTATAAGATTATGACTTTAAGAAGATAATATATCTTTAAACGTTTGACTTATCTCTGTCTGAACACAACTCCACAAAGCCTTGTCTTCAACTTTAACTCCAATTCTCTTTGTTTAGTGCTTCTGCTTTTACAATATAATATTTAGGCACTGAGGCCTTACGAAGAATGCTGTACGCATTTCTCTGCCCGTGGTTGGTTGTGCTCAGACTTTATACGCTTGGCTACCCTAAAACTATAAGTCATTTCCCGTACGCAATTCAGTGCGTTGTAGCACATGCATGCTATCGTGGTTTGTGGTATAAGGTGTGGATAGCTATTTGCTTACTCATGCATGTAACTATTTGCTTACTCATGCATGGAAGTCTAACTGAAGAGGATGCTATATGGTTATATGATTATATTATTATATAAATTGTTATAAGATGATATATAGTGATTATACGTAATAGTAGTGATTCATCTTTTGGCATCGTCTGCACTGTTGACCCATTGCTGGGTATTTCTGGTGACTTTTATCGAAACCACATCTTCCACACCTATCCTTCAACATGCTGTCCACTTACGCATTCGGGTTTTCTCGCTCTGTCTGCCGTTTATTTGAATATCGACGATTTCGAGGGTCCCGCTGACTATACTGTTCCTGTTTAATGGCATTAATGCTGGGGTCTTCCTCTTTCGTGAGCTTCTTTAAACTAGCTAAATTGGTTTCATGGCTTCGTCCGATTTCAATAGCCTTTTCTAATGTCAAAGTATCAGCCAAATCGATACACTTCTCACAAACCTTCATATGTTTACAACTAAACACGATCGCATCACGAACCATACGTTCCTCGTCTCTATAACCACAATCCTTTACCAAAATCCTGAGGTCTGTTACGAAGGACTCAAAACTCTCATTCTCTCCTTGACGTCTTTCATTGAATTTCAAAGCGGCCATAATATAGTTCTTACGTGGAGTACAATAGTCCTCGAATTTCTTTAATACAATGTCTAATTTCTTTGCATCGGCGGGTTCAGCAAATGTAAATCCTTCAAATACATCAAGTCCTTTATCGCCCACCCACAATTTAACATAACTGACTTTAACGCTATCCTCTTTATCGTGTAAAGGACCTTCAAAAATACACATTGCTTGCCTATAGAATCGACGCCATTCTTGATTTAAATCTTGTGCAACCCAAGACATTTCTGGGGTCTTAAATTTCGCCATTAGATACTGTGTTTTTTTTCGTTTACTGAACTATTATACTTAGAAAGAACTCTTCTTTCTATTTTCATATAGATTCAAGCACGATGGCTTGAATTCGGCACGGATTCATAAGGAACCTGACACCATGTAAAATAAAGACATTCCTTCAAGATGGTAGACTATCAACAGCCCCGACAATATTCATTATTCAAACCTAAATACTTTACAAATATACTCACCTGGGAGGGCAGAGTATGCTTATGCTAATTATATCACAGTATGTACGAGAATTTGTCGGCCATGTTCAATAAAATTGGCAGTGATGGTATTGTCCAGCTCGATAGGCCAAGTGTTAACTCCTTCCTATTGTGTGTCAAGCACACCTTGATGCTTCTGGGCAATGCCTCAGGTGTAGCGTTAACTGCAGAGAGTTGGTGTTAAATAAGATAAACCCCTTAATAGCCTCCATGAAAACCCCACATTGTACCACAGGTGTACCACCATCAGAACTATTATTTAATCTTGGCTGGTTCAAATCGTATCTTACCAATCGAAAACAACGAACTTCATGTGAGGGTGAACTGTCTATACTCGTCCTGTGACTTTTGGAGTCCCACAGGGCAGTATTTTAGGCCCATTACTGTTTTTGGTGTACATCAATGGATTATCCGATGTTGTTAAACACTCAGAAATCTCACTGTACGCTGATGATACAGTAATGTACTGTTTTTCAGATGATCCACACAAACTGGAAAATTGTCTAAATGAGGATCTCTGCAATGTAGCCGACTTACATTAAACCTAGAGAAGTTGAAATCCATGTTAATTGGAAGTAATAGAAAATTAACGAATATTTCTTCATTGACCCTATCAATACATGACAGTAACCTGAACTCAGTAAAAAATTTTATCTTCACATTATCTTCGGATTTTTCATGGACTAGTCATGTTGAATATGTAATATCAAAAGCAAATCAGCGACTTGGCCTTTACGGAGAATTAAGCATTTTTTGCCTTACCAGGGCCATTTGTTATTTTATAACAGTTTAGTGCTCCCACTTTTTGATTACGCTGACATCATGTGGGGAGATAAGAATAATATAATTATAATGAATGATTTTCAAATCTTACAAAACAAAGCAGCAAAGCTTATTTTAGATAAACCATTACACTCTTCTGCTACTGAGGCTCTTGTAAAACTGAAGTGGCCGAATTTGAAAGAACGCAGATTTTATCATCGATGCGCGTTCGTTTATAAATTTAAAAACCAATTAATAGATCATAATTTAAATCTGTTAACTAATGGAGACGTGCACCATTATAATACTAGAAACAGTGACCTTTTTAGACTTCCACGTGTTAGTAGAAATTGGGGAAAACAAAGAGTATGCTACCAAACCATCTATGACTGGAATTCCCTAGATAGAGAAACTAGAAATGCCGCCAGCCTTCAAATTTTTAAACGTAGAATATTTAGTAACTTCCTAAAATAATTTTTACCATTATGTATTTTAGATTTTGTATTATTTGTATTTAGTCATATATAGATTATTTAATCTCTTAGGACCTTTTTGAAAAACATTGTAAAATGAAAAAGTATCCTAATAAAAGATTATTATTATTATTATTATTAAAAGGAAAGATCCCAGTGATAACACGGAAGAAAGTCATTAATAGACACAAAGAAGCTCAAGACAACGAAAGAACAAAGAAGGAAAGAAAGAAAGAATACGCTGATCATAGAAGAAATGTAAAAAAGAGCGAGATACAAGTTGGTGATTATGTGTTAGTAAGACAGGAAAAGAAAAACAAACTAACAACGAATTTCAAACCAGAACGATACAAAGTTATTTCGTATTTTCTGCTTTCAGTGTATATTTTTGGTATAATTTTCATCAAAAAAGGATAAGAGTGTTCCTTTTTCTGTTCAACAAATGGAAAGGAGACATAAATTTGTGCTCTGTGTTTGACGTTGTGAATGGCTTAATTCACTTATCAGGGGAATGTTTTTTCTCATTCAGCTATTATTTTATAGCATCCAGGTAAGCCGGCTTTAATAACAATTTCAGTTTTTTGCCTTTGGACTCGAATATAAACTGATTACCAAAGGTTCTGAGCCATATAAATCCATACTTATGATACAAACAGCAAATATACTATTTTAGACCTTTGGTACATGTGCAATGTTATATACCCAAATTTATCATTTTTCTTGACTTAGGGACTTGGGGAAGCAATTAAATTCCTGGCAATGTCAACCTTTGAGTTTGGTCTATTTTGTTTTCATGATAGCAAAGAATGATGTAAATAGGTAAACCTTCCCCCAGTACGTCTACTAGATTCAAGCATTAATCAACATGATCTGACTGACAAATATGCTGAGTAGGTGCTGATACAAAGTAAAGTAATAACATTTTTGCTGCAAACAGTGTAAATTTCAAAAATGATTTTTGGCACTTCACTCGATGCACAAATATTCTAGAGGTTTAAAGGGTCTTAATCTCAAGTGGTATTATACACAGTGGGCGGATCTAGACTATATCAACTGTATCAAATAATACAGTCAGATTTTGCCGAAAATAATATTTTCTGACTGTAAGAATTCCTATATTAATATTTATAAATGCTTTTATTTCATCATTTTACATCGTTTGGAAATCGTTTTTTTCGCTTCACAAGCTGACAAGCGTTTATGGAGCAATTTTTGGCATTTCGCATTCGCCAGCAACGGTTCACTTCTACCTGCTAACAAGCCCGCTTTTTGGGAGTTTGCTTCTTCGTTCAACTCAATAACATAACTCAGAAAGACATTGTCGTAGCAGTTGAGATAAAAATAGAACATTTTTGATACAGTCAGCGGGGGGGTATAAGCTATATTTAGACCGTTCGACTGTATCAAACCAATCAGAATCGCGATCACTGATACAGTTTGATACAGTCAGATGCTGAGTCAGCTACATTGCTCTATTTGAACGATGTCCAACATTCCACACAAAAGGCGCAAGTCTCATTACAAGCAAACTAAGTCTATACGCAGTTTATCTGGCTATCATGGCATCACGCGCTCTGTTAGACAAGTTGAACTGTGCGCTCAATAAGCGAAATTCTTTGGCTGAGAAGGTCGAAGAGCTAACGAATATCAGACATTCATGCGAAATTATTTTTCTGTTGCTCAAAGGGGAATAAATCGCGAGATATATACATGTCAATTTGCGGAGCTACAGTTTCCCAAAAGCCAGCGATTGCGCTCTCATAACCATTATCTTGTCAGGTAACTACAAAGCTTTGTAAATATATTAATATCTTATTCGTTGTAATGATTTTGTGAAGTTAATTTGCATCATGAGTGGAAAATCTGGCTAAACTAATACCCATGTCTGATATGTATACAATAATAGCATCGCGTTCGGATCAATGCACGTGTTTATATTAAAGCCGCTATTATT